AGCTGCTAGTGATCAGCCATCTTGGATCTCTCCCCGACTCTTTGTTTTAAATATCTTTTCCTAAGAGCATGTATACTACTTTGAGAAAGTCTCCTTATATCCTCTTCTTCCTTGTCACTTAAATCATTTTGACACATTTTTGGAAAAGGTTTGGAAGCCTGTAACTCCACTTACTGTTGTGTTTCAGATTTTAATCAGGGCCTGTTCTAGGCTTAGAAAGCGCTATAGAGTTTCTTCAAACTGTTGTCCTGTCTCAGATTTTTCACATAGTCACTTGATTCTATGAAATTTAAAATGCTGTAAATTTGGCTAAAATGATGAGATCAGATCAGCTATCTATCCATATAAACAATGTGAGACACCACCTTTTGTAGGAAATAATGGGGACATATCTCAGAGTCTTCTGGTCTCCCTATCCTCAGAGCTTCTACAGGTATTCCAAAAAGGAGGAAAATATTTTCATGCCAAAAAATTTAGAAGAGAATAAGCTTACACACATTCCAACAAACCATGTAATATTGATTATAAATGAGAGAAGATAAATCAAGAAAGAAAATTGGAGTATGGAAGTGGAGCCAGATGTAATGTAAAAAAAGCATAAGCGAAGCATAAATTTGGCTCAGCTCTCTAGTAGCCAATGTGAGAAGGGTCATCTATCCAATATACTGTATCCATTAGCTGAAACAAACCAGTTATTTAGAGGGCATAGACTTACTTTGGGAACTAATAACAGAGAAAAATTTCTTGTGTGTGAAGACATCATGATCTGTAGGGAATCCATAAGCCCCATATTTTAGGTGCCAGAATGTAGAGATCCGTGAGCCCCACATTGGGCAGCAGAATGTAGGGAGGTAGCCCTACATCACCTGTGGGTACCCCGAGTTTGGTGGTGACAAAGGATGAGAAAAAGACAGATTAAGAGAGAAAGTGGGACTAGCGGGCCAGCACTTTATTACTCTGTAGGAAACAGTAAAGTCTCCGAGCTCTGATCATCCACACTATTTATTGATTACAATCACTTTGATCTACAGGGAGGGTGGAGTGATGGTGGAGAGAGGGTGATGGTAGAGTGAATCAGTGAGCCGGAACTGAATTAGTGAATCGGAACTGAATTAGTGAATGGGAACTGGTGTGTCATTTTAAGGACTGATAACAGTGGTAGTTTGGGAGTTTCATAAAACAAGAACACATGGTTATTTTTAGCTTATTATGTAGGTACAGCTGATGAAATGCTGGCCTTACAAGGAGTCTACAAGTCTGGGTACATCATAGTGCTACGAAGGGGTTTTACATCCTTGAGCACAGTGTTTATGGTAACAGAGCCGAGGCCACCCTGCACCGGAACATGAGGCAGGGAGAGGCCTTCCTCCTCAGAGGCCTCCTGCAGCCTTCTGCAGTTTGCTGTTCCTTGTTTATATGTTACTCACAACGAATCTAGGAGGTAGTCACTCTGTAAGTCCTTTCTCCTTTGCTGTTTTTCCCCAACAATGATCTATGTGATCAGTAATATTTCTGTATTGGGAGAAGTTTTCTGGATTAAGGGTAAGTGGGCTAGCTCTTCTCAACCTTGCTTCAACAGATTTAGTTGGAATGATGCTGGAACTCAGAAAATAACCCAAAATGAAGGCCTCAGAAGCAAAAGTGTTGTTCTGATCTTCTCTTGCCCTCCTCTCAGTCCCATTCTCCCCTTAGGCTAGCCACAGAAACTAGAATCACCTTTCCCCAAGGCAGGTCAAGACACCAGAACCCCCTTTCCCTAAAGCCAGCCATAAAATCTAAAATCATTATTCATTTTCCCTTTGTCTTTCTGTATAAACTACTCATGAAGAAATGATGTGTCCTACCTTCTTTGGCTGTGGGTTTTAAGACCACCATTCCAGAGATGGTATTGCCTCACACCAAGAAGGAAGGAATGCATGCTCAGAGAGGCCAAGAATCTAGACAGACCAGCCCTGCTGGGATCTCCCACTCAGTCTGTCAGCGTGAGATGATACCCTTTTTCTCCAATCATATTTCTTCATAATTTATTGAACCTCAGCATAAAAATGGACACTTTCCCCATCACTTTGGGAGGTTGGGGTGGGCAGATCACAAGGTCAGGAGTTCAACACCAGCTTGGCCAACATGGTAAAACCCTGTCTCTGGTAAAAATACAAAAAATTAGCCGGGTGTGGTGTCAGGTGCCTGTAATCCCAGCTACTTGGGAGGCTGAGGCAGGAGAATTGCTTGAACCTGGGAGGCAGAGGTTGCAGTGAGCCAAGATTATGCCATTGTACTCAGCCTGGGGGACAGAGCAAGACTCTATCTCAAAAATAAAATAAAAAATAGGATACTTTCTCATGTATCTTGGGGTCTTCACTCTGAGGGATCCTGTGTGTACACATTATATAAATTTGAATGCCTTTTCTCCAATTAATTTTCATTTGTCAGTTGACTTCTCAGTAAAACTTTAGAGGGCCACAGAGAACTTTTCCCTTGGCCCTAATAGTCTTTCCAGGCTAAGGAATATATGCAAATTAGTGATATAGGTAATTTTATTGTCCATACTATATGCTAGTTCTTAGAGGGTAGAATTTGTTTATTTATCATGGAATTTGAATTTTGTATAGTTGGTGTTTGTCATGTTTTTTTAAAATTCCATTTCAGGTTTTGGGGTACATGTGATGAACATGCAAGATTGTTGCATAGGTACACACATGGCAGTGCAGTTTGCTGCCTTCCATCCCCTCACCTGTATCTGTCATTTCTCCCCATGCTATCTCTTCCCACCTCCCCACCCCCCATCCCTCCCCCATTTCCCCCCAACGGACCCCAGTGTGTAGTGCTCCCCTCCCTGTGTCCATGTTTATTAATTCATGAAATGAATAGATAAGAAGATGCACATATGGGAGGAGGGTAGCCTCATTGCCTGATTCGTCTCTCCTCAGCATTGGGTGGTACAAAGTGTGAAGATGCTAACAGGGCTGGCCATAAGCAAAATGTTAGCCAGTGTTGTTTGCTGGAGGTGTCTGTCTTTCATACTCACCTTTTAAAACTCCTTCTGCCCACTTTTAGCCTCATTAGATGCCTCTGCTCCTCAGCACCAAGCACCTATGACTTTATCTACCTTTGCTATTGTGTCGAGACGTCAGTTTTCTGGTGGACTCAGAGTGCCACATTTGATTAACTGTTGGGAAAATGGGGATAGGGAGTATTTATGTCAATGAATGTCTAGCAGTTATCAAGTGTGAGATCATATACATTGAAAGTGGTTCTTTGAGCCCTTGAGATACATCTTTAATGAAACTTCCTTAAACTAAGGATTTTTCCCTTTCCTTCACTCATCAAACAATAAAAACTGTTGTCACCCACTCAGAAGGTATGTACTTCTGTTTTTAATTAAAGCAGGCAAGATTAATACAATAAACAAGTGAATTTTTGTTTCGAGTTAGAAATTAAAAGACTTGTGTTCAAGACTCAACTGCCAAGAATTAGCCATGTACCCTCAGGCAAGTCCTTCAGTATCTGTATAAATTTTGTGCCTGTTATGTAAATTGAGATAATTTTCTGGTATGTAGTTGAGATAGTTACTTGCCCTTTCTGATACCAAGACCATCTGTCTTTAGCCCATTATCATTAATGGTACTTACCATTTTATCTTATGAATGTATCACTTGAAGGAATAGACTGTGTTTTATTGGTTTGTATCCTAAATGCTTATCACAATAATTGTTACATTGTATACTCAATAAAATGTCCATTGGTCCAATGAATTTATGAAAATATTTGGAAATTTTCACAGTGCAAAATAAATGTAAGTTGTTTGAGGGAAGCAAGTAGAACTTTACCATGTTTTCCTCTCCTTTGGGCCTGGTAGTTCCTACCTGTGGAGCAATGGCACCAAGCAATCAGTACCAGTCCATATCGACAGATTGGACAGTGCCTAGATGTTGATGCATCTTACAACTTCATCCTTCTGGAAGTGTCCTCACTCCAAAGATCTTGAATTCCCTTTGGCTCATTTGGTGTACAGTGTCATACATTGCTCCTCACGTACAACCACATACTGTTGCACAAGACCTGTAAAAAAATCAAAATGTTGAGTATTTATTCTGACACATTTTGCATGCATCCAAGTGCTCCAGGCTTATGACTTTTCCATAATTATACCAGAGGACTTGCGATCTTATTACATACCAGACATTACGTAGTCACATAAATTAACTCATTCTATCCTCATATGTCTATGATGTAGGTACTATTGTTATCTCCATAGTCAAAATGGAGTTATATCAAAATGGAGAAAATAGTATCTACATCATAGACATGTGAGGATAGATTGGAAGAAAAAAAAGCCGTTTAAGTATTAATATTTTGTCCAAGGTCACAAAGAGTGGCCTAAGTTCTACTATTGGCTGTCTGGCTTGAGTCTAATTACATTATGCTAACTTGTGACTAATTGCTTCAATAGCTGTATTTTTATAATTCATTTTTCTTTTGGGAAGGAGTAATAAAAATCCTGAAGCTTACTTTAACTATGGAATACATACCCTTTACTACTATAGTCCCCCAAAGTTTTAACTGAAGTTCCTTTTATGTGCTTATACTGGTAAGGATAACTCTACAGTATTTATAATTATAAAATATATAAAAAATAGAATTTGGAAGAATGTTCTCATTTATCACTCAGTAAAGGGACTGTTAAATCAACTTTTTTCGTAAAACAAACCAAACCAGAAACCTACTCAAAATCACACACTAAAACTCTAAAGAAATGTTTGATTTAAAATATAGAAGACCCTAGAAAGAGCTACTTTTTCCCTTCTAGCTTAAGTCAAGCCTAGCTTGCTGTGACTGTACCTTTTACAGGAGATGTTAACTATCTTGGTATCAAAATGGTGAAGTTATCATTGTACTGCTTGCTACTCAATTGTCTTGCAAATTGATAATTTTGTACATGTATGTCTCCAGGATGGAAGATGTTGTATTATACACCATCAAATTTTAGCAAATTAGTTATAATACTCTAATACTTTAATATGTGATGAATAAAAAGGCAGAAAACTCATAATTACAATAAGCATTAGGCTATTTCAGAACACCAGTTTTTCACACCTATTTTCTTAGCATACAGCAGCTCAAAAACCATACATTAAGCATAGTTTGAATTGTCCTGAAGTTATATTCTGAAGAGGTTGTAACACTTAAGAACTGACAATGTTAAAAAGGCAAAAGCATTATAACTCACAGACAGCACACAAGACTTTTACTTCATCTACAAAACGTGAGAATTTCAATGTTTTATTTACTACAAGGATAAGGAGGAAAACAGCAAAATAAATTTGATAATATGATTTACACTTTATTACAAGTGATTTTCCTAAAACTCACAACTTTCACATTTGGCTGCGTGAAACAGAGAGAGAGAAAAAAGGGAACTTTCACTAGTTTTAAGTAGTGTAGGCCAACTCACATGATCACTCCAAATGAGAGAGTTTAAATGAGAATGAATACATTTCTTCTAGCTGGGAAAATATTTTCCTTAATTGTGTTTAAATAATTTACCCATAGTGATGAATAAACCCTTGGGCTAGGCTCAGAAACTTCCTCTACCAGCTTGTTTCATAAGAATTAAAAAAATATTTATGTGACATACATGAGATGTATATATATATTTATATATATATTTGGTTGTAATAGTAGAGACAAGGATTTTTAAAAATCCATACTATTTCTCTTTCCGGTCTCTTTCTCCTAAATGCACCTTCTGAGTTTCTTAGGTATGCTTTACAAAGACTATTTTACTTAATGGATTAATGTGTTCATCAACTTTAGCACCCTATGTGTGTGTGAGAATGGGGCTATTTAAACTGCTTCCTCATAGCCTTCCCCTTCATTATGAGTAGTAAAGTTTACTTAGAAAACAATGAGGAAGAAGTACCATAGCCCACAGGCACCTAGGAATGGGCAATTAATTCAGACTGAGAAAATATGGCTCTGGAGAGATACTAAAGTCGTATTGGAAATTTATGAAGTCTAAATGAACCCTTTCTCCCCAGCTTCAGACTTAGATAAGGTGTGAGATGTCAGGGATGTGCATGGACCCTTCAAAAACTGGTATTTTCATCCGTGTTCTTCTCCCTTCCCTCCCCTGCGAGACAAAATATACGGAAATACAAGTGCTTGGTACTACATGCTGTTGAGGCTTAAAAGCCCAACAATAAGCACGCTGTATCCGTTGTTGAGGGGGATCACTTTTCAAATAAACATCACCAGAAGAATCTCTTCAAACGGAGAAAGAAGTCACTCTCCCTCCCCAGAGGCTATGAGGGAAAAGGGAGACAGATATTTCCCCTACTTGCACGTGGGATCTCCCTTTCTCTGCCTTGGGAGGTAGCTGAAAGAAAAGGCAACGCTCAGTCCTCCATGGCAAAGTCTTTGGTCTTCTCCTCCTGGTCTCCCACTTTGTAGCGCAGCAGCACGCGCAGGCGACGGGGGTTGTCCCGGGAGGGCAGCAGCGTGATCTCTCCTGATACGTCCGTGTCTTGCTCCACTTGCACCGGCTCGTTCAGGTAGAGGAGCGCCTGTTTCCAGTGCGTAGCCGGGTGAAAAGGCGAGGTGGACAGCACCAGGGGCTTCTCCGACTCCCCTCCTGGGAAGGTCACCTGGAACCAGATGGCAAAGCCGTGCATGGGCGCCGCGCCATAGCAGCTGCAGCGGAAGCGCCCGCCCACTCCGGCCTCCAGCTCCTGCTCCAGGCCAGCGCGGGAGAGCTCTAGCTGAGCAAAGCGCTGCGGCCGGGCCAGCACGTCCTCGCCGGACAGTCCCTGCACCACGATCTCCGAGTGGCCCATGAGGCAGCGCGTGGCGAAGCCCTCCAGGCAGCTCATGTCCACACCATAGTGCTGCTTCACCTGGCTCCAGAAGCCCAGGCGCCATTCCAGCATCTGGTCGCTGACGGGGGCTATGAAGAGCTCGGCGGAGGCCGGCAGGAGAAGACCGCCTTCCTTCAGCCACTTGGTTCGCGCGTGGAGGACGGAGCTCAGCATGGACTCGTGCAGGAGTCCGTAGCCCATCCACTCGCTCACGATGGCATCCACCTGCTCCGGCAGCTCCACAGTCTCCACCGGGCCCGGCAGGACGTGCACGCGGTCCTCCAGCCCGTTGAACCGCACCACCTCCCGGGCCTGTTGCCAGATGGCGCTGGCCTCCACCGCGTACACGCGCCGGGCGCCGGCCTGGGCACAGAAGATGCTCAGAATGCCGGTGCCCGCTCCCACGTCCAGTACCGTCTTGCCTCGCAGTGCTGCCCAGTTCCGCAGGATGCCCAGGCGGTAGGCATCGGTGCGGACGCGGTCTGCGATCATCTCCTCGTGGACCGAAACGTCCGAGTAGCACTCGTAGTACAGCTGGTCCCGCTCCCGCTTAGTCCTCCGGGGTCGCTCCAGGGCCGCCTCCCGCTCCGCGCCATCTTCCTCTTCAGTTCCCTCCCCTCCTTCGCCGCCGCCCCCCGACTCAAGCTTTCTTTTCTTGGGCTGCGACATCTTGGCCGTCTCGGCCGGCTCCCGGCGTGCGTAGCGCGCCACAGCGCGGGCTCCGGGAAACGGGGGATTCTGGGACTTGTAGTGCGCTCTCGTCCTTCCCACTTCCTGCGGGGTCGTCGGACCGGAGGGCCGGAATGTCTCCGGTGCCTGCCCACGGGAGCCGTTTTGTACTGCTCTTCTGTCGTCCTGGCATCGCTTTTCCCGCCCACCATACCCACCTTCTGAGATCCTTTCATTCCCCCTCCACCCTTAATCACTTTGTTGCTTTCACTCCCTTCCTGAAGTCGACACGCCCACTGGAGACTAATAATCCACCTTTCTCTGCTCAACTCATCTTCACCTTTGTTTTTTTTTGTTTGTTTGTTTGCTTGTTTTTTGAAACTGAGTTTCGCTCTTGTTGCCCAGGCTCGAGTGCAATGGCGCGATCACGGTTCACCGCACCCGGGTTCAAGAGATTCTCCTGCCTTAGCCTCCCGAGTAGCTGGGATTACAGGCATGCACCACCACGCCCGGCTAGTTTTGTATTTTTAGCAGAGACAGGATTTCTCTATGTTGGTCAGGCTAGTCTCGCACTCCCGACCTCGGGTAATCCACCTTCCTCGGGATCCCAAAGTGTTGGGATTACAGGCATGAGCTACCACGCCCAACCTAACTCACCTTGGTTTTATTCCACCGACCATGGCGGCACCATCCACCCACTACCGCCTTACAAGGACAATCGTAGCTCTTAAAGTGCTCCAGATGTGGCCATTTAGAAATTGCACTACTCATTTCTTTTCTGTTTTCAGTGGCGTTAGGATGCAAATGTAACAAAATAAAAACCCAGCAGTACAAAACCTTGGTTCTGATTCCAGTATGACCACTAATTAGTTGGGTGATTTAGAGCAAGTAATAGAATTCTGGTCTTCAATTGCCCATTCACCCACTAGTGAATCTTCATTGCAGTTGGGGAAGAATTACGTTTCTGGTTATACTTAGAAGAACAGGTACTTGGCTTTCAACTCTGCTCTGATAATTCTGTGTGGCTCACTCAAGAGTTAAATCCTGAAAAGTGCAAACTAAAGAGCCATGTGATCAAAGCAAACTCGTTGCTAGGTGTATTTCTCTCTCGCTATGTATATATATGTGTGTGTGTATGTATGCCTTTTTTCTCTCAGAAATAACAGAATCCATTTCTTTTGATCACTTTTCCAATGCAACTCATTTTTTCCTGTGTTTCCTTGTCTGGCAATGTTGACACTCTCCTCTTTCTCTTCTATTTTTCTTAAAGTCAACCATCAACTGTTACTCTTTGTTGTTTGTAATGGAAATAAATTTTAAAATATGTGTGGCATCTATATGAGTGTCTGTGTTATGAACAAGGTGGGCATAATACCATTTTCTCCCAGCTTAAAAAAAAAAAAAAAATCACACAGAAGAAAACTGACTTTTTTTTTTTTTTTTTTTTTTCTTGTGGTCTAGAATTATGTCCTTGTAGCCAATGGGCCTGTATTCCTTGTCTGGGATGAAAGTTCTTTCATCCTATTTTCTCTATTAATCTTTAAGTAACAGAATAGGCTTATTGATGTGGCATCCTCCGCTCTACTCAACTTCTAACTCAAGACTCTCCATCCTGGCTGCTCATTAGAATTCTCTAAGGAGCTTTTTAAAAAAATACCTATGCCTGGGTCTACCTCAGACCAATTAAATCAGAATCACTCCAGTGGAACCTGGGCATCTAGTTTTTAAAATCTCCCCAGGGAATTCTCAAGGGGTAGCCAGAGTGAGAACAACTATTTCTCACTAAAATGATCTTAGTTAAATATTGCTCATTATTTTAATTAGGTAAATTATATATATATTTTTTTCAGTAGCCTGGGCTCAACCATTTAAGGTTAAAAACCTTGAAGCATTTCTTCTCTTTTTCTGCCTTGGTTTAATATATTATTTTAAGATAATTGATGCCCAGTGGGGACATCAGATTAGAGTTGTAAATGTGACCACTTTAATACTTTACTTTTATTGATAGATTGTTACTTAGTATATACTTTTGTCATTCTTTCTTTCCTCAAAAGTCACCTTTTTGTTCTAAATACATTCACTCCTTTACCCAATTTTCAATTCACTTCTTTATGATCTCTTCTAAGAAAATTCTGGATATAAGTTTTACTGGTTCTACTTCCAAATATATCTTGAATCCATCTACTTTTCTCCATTTCTATTGTCAGCAAACACCCTAGTTTAATCTTCCATATATACTTGTCTGGAAATTAGTCTCCTAAGGGATCACTCAGCTTCTAATCTCATCCCTATCTAATCCCTACTCTGCATAGCTGAAAGAATAATATTTTATAAAACTCATTGGACCATGTCATTCTTAAGAAACTTCCCATGTTTGTTAGTGGAATAATTCAGTAACTTGAGGTAACTTCCCATCTCATCTCACATCACTCTTCCCAACTTTCATTGCGCTCAAGACATACTGAGCTGGGTGCAGTGGCTTGCACCTGTAATCCCAGCACTTTGGGAGGCTGAGGTAGGTGGATCACAAGGTCAGGAGTTCAAGACCAGCCTGGCCAATACTGTGAAACCCCGTCTTTACTAAAAATACAAAAATTAGCCGGGTGTGGTGGCATGCGCCTGTAGTCCCAGTTACTGGGGATGCAGGAGAATTGCTTGAACCCAGGAGGCAGAGGTTGCAGTGAGCTAAGATGTGCTACTGACTGCTTCTAATAACACATTTCTTTCCTGTGTCAGGTCTTCATGCATACTCTTCCAGTGCCGAGAAAATCGTTTTTCTCCTTAGCACCTTAGCAGCTTCTTCTCATCCTCATGTATCAACTCAAATGTTACTTCATGAAAAAGGCCTCCCCAGGCTACCTTAAATAATATTTTCCAACCCAAGACACTATTTTGTTCCTTCCTAGGATTCATTATTATCTGTATGTATTTAATTAATTTATTTGTTTTCTGTACAATGTAAACTCCAAGAGACTTGGACTTTCGTATTCCCACTATTCTGGTCCCTAGCACTAAAACAGAACCTGGCACATAGAAAGTGCTCAGTAAATAGTCTTAAACAAAGAGTATTGTGGATGCACAAATTATTATTCATACAGGAAAGAGTAGGGAGAGTTTTGCTTCGTTAGTTCAGTGTGACAATGTGACCGGTAAACTCCAAGAGAAATACAGATATAGATAGAATGTAGAAGGCTCCAAGAAATGAGAATGGTTTAAATTTTAAACACTCTTAATGCTTTTAGATAGAATAAGCACCAAACATTATCCCTAGAGTAGATTTAAAAAGGCCTGTGGCACTTTCCTTTCCTGCACTTAGATTTGATATAGAGAAGGAGTTCTTTACTGAGCTTTTGTACCACACTGAGATGTTTTAAGAAGGAAAGGGACCTAGATCATAGCCCTTCCCTAAGCCCTGCAGCTTAGCAGCAAACCACCTACATGAAAGAGTTGGAGTTCTCTCGGCAGAGCGTCCTTTGCATTTTCATTTCAGCAGGCGGTTTGCCAGGTCTATTCAATGCTCAAACCTAGTTTTTCAAACAAATGATCTTAAAATTAACTTAGTGCGTCTTGACCACCATTAAGAAGAAATAGGAGATCAGAAAATATTAAATGTGTCAAATGAGTAAAGATGAGTATTATTTCATAAAACTTGTTTTGTCACTCACGCCTGTAATCCCAGCACCTTGGGAGGCCGAGGTGGGCAGATCACAAGGTCAAGAAATCAAGATCATCCTGGCCGGCATGGTGAACCCCATCTCTACTAAAAATACAAAAATTAGCTAGGCATGGTGGTATGTGCCTGTAGTCCCAGAGACTTGGGACACTGAGGCAGGAGAATCACCTGAACCCAGGAGGAGGAGGTTGCAGTGAGCCGAGATCATGCCACTGCACTCCAGCCTGGGTAACAAAGTGAGACTCCACCAAAAAAAAAAATAAATAAATAATAAATAACAACAACAACAACAACAACAATATATATATATATATATATAGTATATATATATATATATATATAGTATATATATATATATAGTATGTATATAGTATATATATATAGTATATATATATATATATATATATATAGTATATATATATATAGTATGTTTATTTCTACTTCAGGTTATGGTTAAAAGTTTGAAATATACAGTTTACTATTCTTCAGAACACTATGAATTTTGGCTTTGCTGTGCTTTTGCTTTGAGTGCCTATACTCTTTCTTCCTCTTATTCATCTTTTTAGATAACGCTCAATGTTATTTTTTCAACGAGTCTATGGGCCTTTAATACATATAGCTCTTGATGCCCTTGTATCACTGTGTCAGAACTATTTCTCTATCTGGCTTTGGACTGCGGACATTTGAACACCAAGATTTTGTGTTTTTCACTTCTATGCTAGTGTATTTTGCTGGAATCTGAACGTTTTCCATACTCTAGATTGTTCCTCCCAAGTATATTGAGGTTCATAGATGTGCTTTGGATGACTGGGAGAATCATGATCTATTTTCTGTATCAAACACACTCATTTATTTGTTCAACCATTCATTTATTCAACAGGCATGCTGGACTTCTACTCTGCACTAAGTATTATTCTAGAAATAAGAAACAAACTAAACAAAAGGGCAAATGTTCTTATCCCTGAGGAACTTATATTCTGGTGTTAATGTTATGTTATCTGTTATTATTATGCTTTCTTACTAGCAATTTATTATATCACTTTTAAATATCAACTCTCATATATTACTTATTTCTAATTTCTTTCCCTCTTTAGTTCAAAGGTCTATTATTATTTAAAAATATTGGCCGGGCGTGGTGGCTCAAGCCTGTAATCCCAGCACTTTGGGAGGCCGAGGCAGGTGGATCACGAGGTCAAGAGATCAAGACCATCCTGGTCAACATGGTGAAACCCCGTCTCTACTAAAAATACAAAAATTAGCTGGGCATGGTGGCGCATGCCTGTAATCCCAGCTACTCAGGAGGCTGAGGCAGGAGAATTGCCTGAACCCAGGAGGCGGAGGTTGCGGTGAGCCGAGATCGCGCCATTGCACTCCAGCCTGGGTAACAAGAGCGAAACTCCGTCTCAAAAAAAA